ATAGGCCATCAACCACAGGCCCTAGGCCATGGGCATAGGCATAGGAGCTCAAAAACTTTGTTTAGCTGAGATGGTTTAGCTTAGCTGAGCTGTTTAGCTTAGCTCAACAACTTTGTCTGGTTCTTTAAAGAAGTAATTTAAAATGAAACACGACATACATCACATACGCAAGAGGAAAACTGTAAAGCAGGAAACATGCTTTTTGTTTCAAGTACATGCACATCGCTCGCATTTACGCCCGCCTACGCGACGCATAAACCCCAAACATGTGCCATGCAAGGTTTTGAGACAAACACAGGTTTGAAGGTTTTTGGCTTCTAAGACCCTAGGAAAGTTCACATTGAACTTTCAAAACTGCAACTCTCTTTGTCATTATACATTACGAGTTTGCACACAAAGCGCAGATGCGTCACCGATACCAGTTCAGATTCTAGGGGAGCCAAACATGTGTCAATCAATGATTGCTTCATCAGTTCGCTGTTGGCGCATTGTTGCCCCTACTTTTCCTGTTTCATCCCACGCTGTCACTGTTCACTTTAGTCACTAGCCGTTAGTCACTCACTAGTCAGTTTTCAATACCACTTTGCCCCGTTCTGCTCTGAAAAAGGGCAAGTTAGGCCCAATGTTAAAATCAAAGACATCCGAGTCAACTGCCCCGCACCTTTTTCCCCTTCTCAGGCTTCTCAGAGCGATGTGCCAAGACTTCCCAGAAAGAGCCTACATGGCCTAACGGGGATGATGCGAGTCAAACGCGAATGACAGATACAGAGATATATGATTTGATTTTTCTGTGCTTGTGACTTAAGATCACTGCCGTCCATATTCCAGGATTGAGAATGCGACTGCTGCGGGGGGAGCCAGGTTCCGTGTTTGTTCGCTGTTGTGGGTTTCCGGTGCTGCGTCGCACGCGTGGGGGCGGGGGGCCCACACACGCAGAAACGAAGGGCTAAGAAAAAAACCATAGCGCAACTCGGGATCGGAGATGGGGCCTTTGGTATTGTTGTGGTGGGGGTGACTGAAAACATAAGGTTCCTGTGACAAAGTCAGAGCACGAAAAATCAACCATATCAAAACCATATCAAAATCATATCAAAATCATAAAATCAACCATAACAAAATCATATCAAAATCATAAAAATAAATCAAAACATATGTTTTTTATGAATTCGATATGATTTCGATATGATTTCCATATGATTTTGATATGATTTTGATATGCCAAAGTTTATGATTTTCTTATGGTTTTGGAGTCTCTCCGTTTTTTTGATATGATTTTGATATGATTTTCTTATGGTTTTGGAGTCTCTCCGTTTTTTTGATATGATTTTGATATGATTTTCTTATGGTTTTGGAGTCTCTCCGTTTTTTTGATATGATTTTCTTATGGTTTTGGAGTACCTCCGTTTTCTTGATATGATTTTCTTATGGTTTTGGGGTGCCTCCGTCTTTTTGATATGATTTCGTTATTGTTTTCGTCCGGCCACATCTCCCACCCCCGTCGCCGGACCCCGGCCACACCTCCCACCCCCCCCTCGTCGGACCCCAGCCACACCTCCCACGCCCGTCGCCGGACCCACCTCCCATCCCGTCGCCAGACAGTGGAACCACGGAGGAACTCTCTGATTTCAAACTTTGGTTTCTTTCTGATTCTTTTGGATCTCCAGGCACGTTGCAGCATGCTACAGACCTACAGAGTTCAGTTTGAATATAAGCTTTACCATTTTGTGGGTGAGGCTGGCAAGAAGAAGAAGAAGTTTTCAATGTTGCTGCAGACTGACTGAATTTAGGGTTTAGTCACTCGTTCCACATTCCACGGACCAGTTCATTTCATGCTGTCGTGTCTTTGCACTGTTGCAGACTTCATCTCATCGCTATTCCAGTGCACAAGCCATTCCTACCTACAGGCAGTCCTTTCCCTATTCATATTATAGCGTCGCGTCCCTTTTTCAAAACTCCTGTCCCGGTGTTTGTGTGCCATGCGCTCACTACTATAACTACTATTACTACCGATGATGACTTGACTTTATCCGAACTGTCTTGATGATGTCATGGACCGCAGAAGCTATGACAGCTATGACAGACTAACTGCCTTGAATAACTGACTATCTGAACTTGAACTATGACTGTGACTATGTCTATGTCACGTGACTTTGACTATGACTATGATGATGGCTATGGAGGCAATTCAACTGGACCTTGCGAATGGATCCATACACAGTGTACAAAGCCTTACATTGCTTATGGGCTTATTGGGCTATTGGGAAAATAGTTTCATGTGATCTTCCAAAGGATATGTCTGTAAGGCACGGCTAAGGAAAGTGTGACATTAGACATGTCTTTGGTTGCCAGCATGACTGGCACGAGATGGCAAGTGTGACAAGGGTACTCTCTGGAGATTTTGTGAACATATCGCAGAGCTGATAAACAGGAAGGATAGGCTAATACGCTGACGACAGAAAAGAGATTAGAATCAGAATGATCGAGTAGAATGAGTATAATTGATTTGACTAGAAGAGATGATAATAGATTTAGATCAAAATGTTTGTTTATGATGAAAAAGCAATGCCAGATGCCAGATATGACATCAGGCAAAAATAGAATTGAATAGAAAAGGATACATGACAACAAAAAAGAATCGAGTTGTGTGATCAAGCTGCTAGCTACTAGTGACTGCTAGCAGCTAGCTAGCTGCCTGTTGCTAGCTGCTAAGCTGCTAGCTGCTAGCTGCTAGCTGCTAGCTGCTTGATCAACAGGGGCTACACACCAGAACCCAAGAATATATGTCAAGTAAAAATGTCAGATAGGACAGGAAAGAAGAAAATACATCTCATAGAAAACTTTGAAACATCTAATGAATCTGTGGCTTTGTGGACCAACCAAAAGTGAAGATCAGTTTCAATATCATTCGCTTCCTTTCGTTCTACTAGTTACTAGTTACTTTTTACAATTATATTTAGCTTAGCGTCAAAAAATCAAACAAAGTGAAACATCAAGCAAAACTGAAAGAAAAACTAATAGATTTTGAATTATGATACGGATAAGGCAAGGATTTTGTTCAGTCTAAAATCTAAAAGTCTAATGTGTTAGCAGCTAAAGCATTTTTTGCTTTTGATTCAAATTTTCTTATTTTTTAAATACAAATAATTTATGTTTTTTTCCATTCTGAAATGTCCAAAACATGACCAAATATTTTTTTTACAAAAAAGATACGACCAGCCATAACAAATTTCATAAGAAAAAAATGAAGCACTCCAGGACCATCACAAAACCATATCGAAATCATAACTGTTTTGAGGACAGGCAAAAAAAACATAAAATCAACCATAAGGAAACCATAGCAAAACCATAACAAAATCATATCAAAATCACAAAAAAAAATATTTTATAAAATAATTTCTCTAGGCAAATGATAACACTCAAAATTAAAAATAATGAAGAATAGAGAAAAACAAGGAAAAAAGTAAGGTTTATATTTCAGAGCTGGGGACGGCGACTCGGAGTCGGGGAAGGCGGGCTACAGATCCCGGGCTCGAGGACTTCGACCCAACAACGGGTTCGCATGTTCCATGTTAACCAGCGGTGGGGTTCTTGGGGTCCAACGGCTCAGTCCTGAATTTGAAGACGATGAACTATTTTTTTCCCGTTAAATTCTTTATTTAAAATTGCTCATTTGAAGCATTGGATCACTGGTTTAAAAGCATTTCCAAAAAATGCAATAAGCCTTGATCGGGGAAAAAGGAAAGTTGCTTGGGAGCCCAAATTGTAGATCTATTCCAGGTTAACGAATGCCAGAATCGGGACAACACGACCCCCCCCCCCGGACGGTGGTTAACATGGAACAGGCGAACCCGTTGTTTGGGCAATGAAAAATAATGAAAAATAAAGAAACAAAGGAAAAGACAATTAAAAATAACAGGGTCTATGTTAACGAATAAGGGGCCAACTTTTCACCTTCGAATATGTCCTCCAGAATTCCACAACTTTTAACATGGACGATTTCGGCAAAAATATGTATTTTTTCCATAAAAGCGTCTATGTTAATATTGCGGGGCCAATTCTCACCTTCGAAGATGCCCCTCCAGAGCTCCACAATTTTTAACATGAAACAGGGCGGGAAAAAATGGTTTTTCCATAACAGGGTCTATGTTAATGATTGCAGGGCCAATTTTCACCTTCAAAAATTTAAGAAAAAATATCAACATACCTGAAATTGTTCCATGTTAATGTAGGATTGGCTAATTTCTGTTCCATGTTAAATTTGTGTGGTCATTTTTTGGTACTTAGAACGATCACCGTACCTTGTTCTATGTTAGCGTGCGAAAGCATTTGTTTGCACGTTTTGACCTTAACATGGAACAAATTTACAAAAAAAAGGTGTCTTAACATGGAACCTAAAAAGTTTTTTTTATTTTTTTGTTCCATGTAATATTTAAGGGGAGTATATACATATTTAAAATTTACGTATAAATATATATCTGCAGGATTGAGGGGTTGGTTGGATGCGCAAGCCCGAAAAATATGGCGTAATAGGTTTTTATCCAAACCCATGTGCACGTGCGGCTGGAAACGGGGATTGAACCAGCAAAAGTGATTCCACCAACATGTTCTGTTATTTCATGGCTACAAACTGCAATTTTAGCATCAAAATAATCAAGTCTATGGGCTCTTGTAAGTTTAGACCGGCGGCTGGATCACCAACAAAATGCTGTTTATTGATATATATATATACATAAATACATACATACATACATAGATAGATAGATAGATAGATACATACATACATACATATTATCATATAATGAAAAAAACAATGATGCTTCATCATGGTTCTTGATGGTTGATGATGGTTATATAATTAACGGGAAAATATGTTTAAAGAAACTTCCGAAGCTGTTTAATACCTCTGGGCCTGGCCCAGCCTGCACATCATCCCCAAATCTATGGCATAGGCTGAATCTTCAGGAGTTTTTGTTGGCTCACCACAGGAACACCGGACGGACCTTTTTGCCATGCACTCAATCGCAGCCCTCCAGCGAGAAGATTTGACTCGGGCCAGGAGCGGGCGCCATTGCTGTTGCGACCTCCGGCGCTGTTGCTGTTGAGGCTGCGGATGGGAGGGGCTGCTTAAAGACCCATGTTTAGATGGGAAAATAGGGCAAGAATTGGAAATTGATACGTAAATAATAATTGAAGTCGTTTAAATATGTAGCCAGATTGAGCTCAGGTCGGAAGTTTACACTGCTGGAGTTTACTCCAGATACTTTTCAGGGACCACCTGTCCTATTTCCAAAAGCAAGAGACGGGTCCCTAGGAAGTCCAGTGATTCCCATAAAAACCATCATAAAGCAGAGTGGACCCCCTGTCAATGACGTGTTTGTTTCATGTTCCTTCCTCCTATCAACAAAATGACTGGTTTAGAAAGGAAAATGAATGATTTGGGGATATCCATTGTATCCATGGATATCCCTATTTTAGGAAACCCCCAATTAGAGCGTTGCTTTTGTTTTGGACATGCCGGGTCTTGTGATTCTTCTGTGTCACCCTTAAAAGTGCGTTTCGCGAAGCGGCTAACAAGTTCCAAACCGATGTCGCCTTGTACCCTGGTTTATCCCCGGTTCCCAAGAAGCAGCCCAGGGCCGAGGGGTTCATTCGGATGATATGAAGTAATTGATGAGTTATTATCCGCACAACAGTGACAGACATAGGGAAAAAAATGCTACGTTCCTCTAAGAATTGGTAATATTGGTAATTGATTGTCGGTCAAACTGTTCATTGGATGGCAAATCCATGTCAATGTCCCTTATTCCTTGGGTAAATCCATATAAATCCACATTTTTGATGGTTAAATCCTCATTTTTGGCACTCCAAGACAATTGTAATTAGACATAGTTAGAGAATGGGCAAACATGAGATCATCGTGGAGGGTGTCAAGGTTGCTGCACCTCACGTGGCATGCTGAGTGTTCGCTCTTTGGGGGTCTGAAACATCACCTGGACCAAATTTTTTGGGGGGGTCCATAAATTAATGGAAACTCCTATTAAAATCAATGATTCTAGGGAACCCCCATTTCAGGAAACCTCCATTTGGAAGGAAGATCTGGGTCAACAAAAACACACACCATTTGTCACAATCTTCCCACCCCTCCTCCACCTCCTGTGTTGCTCGCAGCCCTGGTTGCAGCAGAAGCAGCTTGACAAAAACACTTCCAAATCAGTGTGGTGTTTACCATTGATTATCCAAAAATTAAATATATTTCCCGATTTTCCCCAGAAATTATACATTGAGATATATATATATATATATAATTGTATATTTAATTTACCATTGATATTTACCATCAATTTCATTGGTCTCAGAAAATCCAATCGCACCACGGCCTACCCAAGCGGCTCCACTCCCCCAATCCCCACCTGCGCTCCGCGGCACGTATGTCCGTGGAGCCGAAGGCCCTAATCGGAAACCCTGTTGAATCTTAGCAATTTGGGGATACCTAATCGGAGACCTGCTACTATGGATACACCTGATCTTTTCTGATATTTTTTTTGGGACACAGCCAAATATCTGTAAAGATTCTAAGATGAAAAGTGGATGGAAAGTTACATGAAACGCATGGATGGATCAAAATTGGCTACCCCAAAGTCCTAAAAATGGACCAACATCTGAGGTTCTAAGATAGACAAGGGCAACATGAATGAAACCTCAAGCAACATGGATGATGAAAGGCGCCCAAGCATCCCAAAGTAGGTTGCAGTCAACCCATCCCCTAGGCACCCCATCTGGCACTGCTTTCCGGAACCTGCGAGGAGGTTGGATATTCTACCACACCGAAGCCGCAATGGATATGTGTTGGCTAATATGTATTCATAAGGGGGCCAATACCAACAATGCGATGATTTTGGTGACAATGAGTTTAGGAACAACCCGGTTGGTATGGATCAAAGCCCAGGAAGATTCCCATTCTTCCATCACCTTGTGAATTTCTGAGTAACTGCAAAATCCAAAATTGGGCTTCTATTTCTATATTAATTTCTTGGGTTTACTACTCATATAACCCATGTTGGATCAAATCGTTGGTGCCGCATGAATTTTACACCAAAATCATAACTGGCAGCTGGATGTTCATCTCCAAATATGGAGATGTCTGAAAATTGGCATTCGCCGACCGCAATTTTTGCTAGTTCATCACCATTATCTGTATTACAATTGCCATTTCGGTGGTATACCCCATTTTCAAACCGATATAGTATCGTAGGTCTTGACCCAAACCCTTTCACCAGCAAAGGTCATCGAAGAAAGAGGCTATCACAGTGTATATGTTTTGACAGAGAACATCAAGAATCTGAATCCTTGAACATCACGAGGTCATTCCTTCCCACAAAAGGATTTGTCTACAACTAGACATGGGTTTGGTTGTGGGTACAGTCAAGTCTTCATTGGCTGATTTATTATGGACAAAGGCTCTGGTCCATCCCATTCAAAGTCAACAACACAAATACGAATCTGAACTAAAAAGATGCATGACTGTAAAACACAAAATGGGCAAGCAAAATGTACATACGAGTTTCCCACTATGTCTATCTATCTGTCTGTTTGTCTATCTTTCTGTCTATCTTTCTGTGTATCTATATGTCTATCTATCTTTCAGTCTTTCTATCCATCTATCTTTCTATCCCCTTACTGACCTCCATTCCAGTGACGTCAGAGTGAGGTCATTATAATTCATCCATACATATATTATATCCTTGTAACTATATATTATATAAAAATATAGTAATATATGTATCATGTATATTTATGTATATCATATAATTAATGTGCATAGTTTCAGAGGAGCAGCACTTTTTCGGTGCACCTCCTCTATGGCAGGCTTGGTGGACGGCAGCGGGTCACCGGCGCGACGCACCTTCACCGTTAACCTGGATGCGGATTCTGGATGGATATATTGAAAAAGTGAATTAGGAATTAAAAATTGAACCTGTCAATCAACTTACATAATATGTAATAATTATATATGCTACTATATACCCATATATATATACACATTGCTAGTTGTATTTGTTGATAATTAATGAATGATTCTTTTGTTCAATGTTAGCCTAACAAAATATTGGAATATCACGTGCTACCCAGCTCCCCAGCTCTGGGCTCCGCAGCTTTCGGGTGGGCATCGTGGGATAGCGCGTCGGGTCGCACATCACGCATTTCGCATGAGCACGAGCTTCCTAGGTGACTGGGACCCTGGGACCTAACTGGGACGCAATGACTGCGAACCAGAAGCCATGGCCAATCTACTTCGATTTACCTACTAAATTGATCTTAAATTCTTGTTTTCCCCTGCGACCTGTTAACTTAGGATGCTGAAACGGTCAAAAATCCATCAAATCTGATTCCGCTTGTGTCAAGAAGGCTTCGTGAGATCAAATGAATTGCATGTCATTGGAGCAATGAAACCATCATACCCAGTACTCAAATTCATATCCATCCATATCCATCATATCTGGATAATTTACCCTGGGGTAAACTAACATAGATGTGAAAATGTCATGGTTTCTTCAAGAACATGATCTATAACTTGTGGTTTTTCCATGTTTTGTTCGTTTGCGTTTTTCCATGTTTTGTTCGTTTGCAGGAGGGTAACATTCTCTTAATTCACCTGAAAAGTGTTGGGTCATTTCGGGGTAGCCGTTCCATCATTCTAGTGACGTCGAAGCAGATCATCCCCAGTATATTCCCATTATTCCACCATTATATATATATATTATACATGATTTTATATATATATACATGTATATATCCCTATACTCCACAGTCTTTGTTTCTTCGATCCCCGTGTCTGTTGAAAAACCTTGAAAAACCATGATTACTTGGTGGTTCAACTCAGCTAGTAAGTAGGCTAGCTAGCCTCACTTATAGGGTCAGTCGGCTTAGCTTACTTATAGCTGGGCTATTAAATCCTCTTACTAAGTGGGGTAAACCATTATATATCATTATACATCATATATCATCATATATAATCATATGTAATCATATGTAATCATATATAGTTATATATAATCGTGTATATAATCATGTATATATATATCATATATATATATCATGTGAACAAATGGATCCTTGTTCTGGATATCTTTAATTGATGATACCTTAGTGCTGGGAGTAGCCGAACCTAACGAAGCATTGCGAGCATCACGCGATTGTTTTCCTTTCAGCGGGCGCTTGAGCCAAAATGGGCGTTCGTCATGAAGTGCAATGTCCATATGATACATGCACCTAGCGCCTGGTTCCCTTTGACACCCCCCATGTCCGTGGCATTCTTCGAGCCACGAACACGAGAGAGGGAACTTTGAATTATATTCGTTCTGCTACTTGAATTACGCCTATTTACATAAAATCTGCCATTCGGATCCCCCTTTCCCACATACCCGTCGGGTATAATGGTTCAGGGTTCACCTACTCTTTGGCTGTCGATGCATCGGCGTTTCATCAAGCTGTACAACGCGAATTATTGCTAGCTAACACCTACTTTTCTACGTTGGCTAAGCTCACCACTCACCCGTCGGGAGAAATGGATCGCCTCGCTACCAAAGACTTACAGTGCTAACTAACGAATTCACGTGCACAATGCAGAACCTCGTGCAGATTGGGAATATCAAAAGTTCTGAACCTAAGCGAATTAATCTAATGCCTCGCTCAGAGTCCACTCAGTTGGTCTTTTCCTGATCATCTGTTCACAAAGACGATACACATCTTATAGGCCAGCGATCATGAAGTAATTGGTTTACTGCTCACGGCGGACTTTCTTCCATTGGGGTGCTGATGGAGGTTTCTCCCATCCTGCCGCACGTTTTGGAGCAGCTTTCGGCGATGAAGGCTTTGCAGGCGGTGCCTTTGATGGTTCATGGGATTTCGGCATAGCTTTGGCCTTTGGTGCGCTAGCCGATGAGGATGATGCTGAACCAGTGCCTTCAGGCTTTTGTGAAGGTTGCGCGGGTGGTTTGGTAAACTTGGAAGCTGCAGTATGTCCAACCGCTTTGAACACTTCATGCACCACTTCATCGCCAAGGGTTGGAGCCATCTTCGTTTTCATTTCGGTCTTTCCCCTCTGCGCTTCAGCCTCGGCCAGCTGAATAGCATATGCCATTTTGCTGACAAAGTTTTGTGGTAATGGAATTCCACACTGTTGGGCTGCAAAGAGTAACTCGACTCTCTGTTCTTTCTCCCTTAGGCTCAGATATACTGAGAATGCTGGAAGTTCGATGCAGTCGGGGAAGCCGTGGCTCCCGGAACGAAAGAAGGTGTACGACTCGTGCTCTGGGAACGTCCCTTTGAGAAGTCGCCGAAGGAAATTGCTGATTGTCACTCGCATCTCCTGCTTCCCTTGGGCATCAGCCTGCATTCGGTTCATTGGCATGAGGAAGCCTAATGATTCTGGAGTATACCCGGCGCATACCAGAAATTCCATCATCTTCTCATAGATCTCTAAAGTCTTGATGACAGGCATCATCATGTTTCTTGGTCGCCCTGAGTATAGCTTCTCTCCTTCTGACCATGAATTCCTCTTCCCTTTCTCCTGAAAGAGTTCGTCCAACTCCAGCTCTGTCGGTCGCTTGAGGTTGCCATCCTGGTCTTCTCCTGTGTAAGGGCAGAAGTCGTCCAGGTCCAGCCGGACTCGCTTGGTCTCCGTCATCATCTCATGATATTCCTCTGGGGTCATGGTGACTCTTTGTTTGTAATAAAACCTGAACATGGTGATGATCTTTGACATGACTGCATTGTCGTACAAGTGAGCCGCGGCCTCGGAGACATCATTGTTGATAAGTCCATCTTCTGGCATACCCTTGCTGCCGCTCTCGAGGTTCTTGGTCCACGCTGGAAGTTTGTAAGAGGGTTCATTTTCAGGTTCGACGTCCATCTCATCGTCATCTTCTTCAACGATTTCGTCGTCCTCTTGTTGAGCTTCCTCCTCCTGATCCATTTCCTCATCATCGCCTTCGTTGTAGTCGACCTCATCGGGATTGAAGCCATAGTCGTTGGATTCGGATACATTCTCTTGTGCTTGATTGACCGTATCTTTGAACAACGACTCTTGTTGTCGACGAACTTCTTCATCGAGCTCTTTCTTCGTGGCCTCATCTTCATCGTCTTCAGGAGCTTGTAGCCGATATGGACGGATTCCACAACTCTCGAGTTCCGTCCAGCAAACTAGACAAACCGCTAGCTTTGTCGGCGTCTCATTGAGACAGTGAGGACAATGACGGCAACCTGATGTTTGCACCCTTTTGCGTTCGACTATATAGTCAATCAGCTTGATGCGGGCCATGTATTGCTCTTGTCCACCAGGTTCGATGAGGTTGTTCTCAAATTTGTTGACGATGTTCATGGCATCCATGGCGGTTTCGTCAAACGGTTGGTCTTCGGCGTCGATGCACTGCCTTGCAACCCTCAGGATGGACTCCTTGGTGGCTACCGTTCTTGATTTGACCGTTCCAGACCGAACTACCTGGTCGTCGCCCGACGGGACGAACAACCGGAGCCACGTCTTATTGTTTTGGTCCCTGGGGTCCTGAATCCATCCTCCTTTGATTGCCGAGAACGGGATGATCTTTGGTGAAACGATCTGTCCCGAGTCAGTCAGTCGACCGCCATATTCCACCATCAAGGTCTCGGTCGGGACGAACAAGCAGATGTAGTCCCCCCTCCGCGTATCAACGCTCTTCGTGATGGTCCAAGATCTGTGATCCCATGGCACATACGGGTTGAAGAACGTGAACATCCGATGACCTTCTCCAAGACCTCCTGGAATTAATCCCTGCCTCCAAATACTTCGAAGGTTGGTCTTCTTGGTGATGTGGAAACAAACCGGTAACGATAAAATGGTGTTGGGCGCAATTGGATGTGAAAGTAGTGAGGACAGCAACGAGACGTCGTCCCTTGATGATCCTTCTTTGTGCCCCGTAGGAGCACGGACCGCTACAGGGTATAGCAGTAGACCTTCATCAGGGATGTTCGTGTCTGCATCAACTTTGTTGTCAATGCACGTCAGGCTTGTGCGCTCAATGTCCTTGTTGATGCCAAATGCCAAGACTTGTTCACGAACACGACGTCCGTACCGGGCACAGTGGAACATGATCTTGAAGAGCAATGTCATGCGGAAGTTTGCCTCTTTGAGATTCCATGCACCCTGATCATTTGCTCTCCCTTTTGGAGCAAGGAACACATGTGGCCAGCGTGCGTAGTCGTGCCTCCAGATGGACTCACATTTGAGCACGTCCTCGATGGGCACCCAGCCGGCGTCATCACATGGCAGACTTTGTTGCTCTGATACTTTCCCCACGTTGTGCCGCAGGATCCTGTTTAGTGATGCACTCACTTTGTCCTCGTAGGTGTTGAGTCGGTTGCCAGTATCGAAGCGGTAGTTTGCTGCATATTCGACACCGCCAAAGTAGGAGCAATTGAAGAAATGCGCCCCCGTCGTTGGGATGATTTTCAAGAAACCATCTTGCGGCGCCTCAACTCTCTTGTAGAAGGGCTTCCTGATGTTGTTATCAGAATAGCTTGCCATGAAGTCTGGCACAGACCACGAGTCGCCTCCTCCTCTGACAATAGCGTCTCGGATCACTTCGTTGAGGTCAACAATGTTCTGTGGTCCTAGCTTTGTGACATCACGTCCTTCTATGCAGAATCTACCATACTCATCGAGGTCACCAACTTCAGACATGGTTCTGATGCTGTCGTACCATTGGTGTTCACTAAACCTCGATTTTGTGGGTTCATCTGTCTTCCCCGACCCATCAGTAGCACCTGAACCGTCCTTCTTGTGCTCAGGAGGCTCCATATCGACGTCATCAGATGTTGGACTATCAGCCTCGAGCGACGCTCGGACGGCCTTTAGCACCTTTCTGACTTCATCTCTCTTCTCATGTTCGCATTCAAGGTGGCCATGTTTGGTGCTACCACAATACAGGCACACATTGACATCCTCGGAGACGGTAAAGAGTTTTCCCAACGCATCCAAAAGTTGTTGCTTCCCGGAAATCTCTGAGTCCCTGACAACATCGGTTGGATCATTTGCTGGCTCATCAGCTTCCTCCTCCCCAGGGTGAGCCGACGACTCGTCACCTGGCTTGGCATCTGCATCAGTGCCCATGCTGGCATCATCCCCTGTGATGTTGTTCTTCCTCCGATAATGGGTGAACACCTGGTCCTTTTCCCAATCCGTAAG